AGAGGAAGGAGAAGGAGGACGGAAGGAGAAGAGAAGGAGGGAGAGGAAACTAGGCAGCAGCGGAACTCATGTTGCTATCTTTCGGCCGACGACCTCAAGCGGGGCCGGGCTACAGACGCCGCGGCTGCCCGGGCAGCGGTAGCACGGAGGAGCTGACAGTCGGGCAGGGCCCGGCCGGGCGGCCTCGGCGGCTCCAGCTCCCCATGCTCGGGGACCCGGTCCAGCCCCCCATGCTCCGGGACCCGGTCCCGGAGGCTGCTTAGTCCTGTGATCGGTGCTTCTTCCCTCCCTGGCCCCCTCCCCGCTTGGAGGACAGGTAGGGGGTTCGGCCCCTCAGCTGCCGCTGTGGTGCCTCCTCTTCCTCTCTTGGGTTCTAATGGCCTGGGGAAACCCCTTGGGGCCAAGACCAAAATCTACAACCTGCCGCCTCTTCCACCTCCCACGCTTCAAAAGCGGGAACCAGCGCGGGGCCAGGTCTTCCGCGTCCGGGCACCCATCGGGTCCTGCGCACGCGCCCGGCGGCCGCGCCAATGGGCCGGCGGGCACGGAGCATGCGTGAGAGCCCCGCCCCGCAAACCTCCTCCAAAGGGGAGGAGCGTTTCCAGGGGGCCCGGCGCCCTCCTAGATGGCATTGGCCCGGGCACCCTGGCGCCTGATTTTGAAAAGAACCAATAGTTTGGAGACACTGGAGCATCATCTTTCAGGAAGACTTTGGGCCAATATTCAAGGGAAAAAGAAACCTGTGCTTTCTACGTTTTTTCGTTCCCAATTTGTATGCTCTCACCTCTGTGAGCCCCGCTTATTTCTTAAATCTCTCGATTTTGCTGGTCTTTGTCTGCAGGGGCCGATTTCCTATTCACATCATCCATTTGGATGCACTAGACCAAAGGGAAGCTAAAAAACAAAAGCAATGGTGTAAAAATAAAGAGAATCTAATGAAAGTTCATATATCTAGTGAGAAGCACTCATCTCCATTTTACAAGCACCGTTAGCTTCAACGATACGTACTAGGAAAAGTCCTGAAGAACAGGTAGCAGAACCAGATTTTTTTTTTCTTTCTAGGATTTACGGAGACCCTAACAATCATGATTCAGCATGTGAGACCCGGAATTATTTATTTTATTGAACAAACACCTACATAGCAGTTACTGTGTGCTAGGCACTATTCTAAGAACTCCAGAAATTTTAACTCATTTAATCTTCACCACTTGAATGACCCTGGGAGAAAAAGGCCATTGTATTGTGTTAATCATACATGCCTAGAAAGTACAGGAAATTTAATAATTATAAAATTGGTTTCAGAATTTAACAAAAATAGTTTTACCTGCCTCTTCAATTCAGTTGTCCCATATTAAACTTGCCAAGCCCAATCGTCATTTCGTTCCTCAATGTTATGTTTTCTGCTTGCAATATGAGAATTGTTAAAGCACTTTTGGATAGTTTTTTTTAAATTGCCTATATTTTCCCGCCAGCTGGATTAGAAACGCAAGCTCTATTTTTGATCAACTTAACTCCAGGTCTTAGCAATGCCCCCCCATCTGCTCAAAAAACGATTATAGTACATTCTATTGTTTACAGTAGCTTCTAACCAATCATTTGTTGACCACATGCACAGTCCCTAACTCAGAGGAGTCAAACAATTTAGTAGAATCCCTAACTTTCAGGAGCTTAACGATTAGGAGCAACTCAAGGATATATGAGAAGATGGATGCTACCTTAGCCATCATTTCCAGGATTTATTCATATCATTCTTGCTTACCTAGTTTCTTTTATCCTTCAGGTAAATCTTTTGGGAAGTTTAGGGTGTTTGGTTTCTGGGCCTGGATTCAACTTGTTTTTAACTTGCTCTTGTGATAACTAAAGGTAAACAGCTTGCTTAAAAGTTTCCGTGACAACTGGTAAAATAAAGAGCTGATTATGACATGTTTGTGGGACACCTTTTATAAGTAAGAGGCCTGGGGCAGATGGCAGCAGACTGGGACAGACATACAAAGAGAGGAGTAGCATAAGTACCAAGGTATAGTTTTAAGCAAACCAGAGATCCAAGATCATGGCATATTTCTATGGAACAGCAAGAGCTGATAACGAAGCACAGCTAGGTTGGTATAATAACGCGTGGATAGAAATGGGAAGAAGTAAAAATAATTTCTTTAAATGTTGTGTTTGCCACTGTAGAATACAGAATTATCTCTGGTTTTGTAGTACTTGCTCCTTTTGACATTCCAACTTGTGTATGTACTATGAGTCCTGTCTCTGTCTTTACAGGTTTTGGGTTCCTGACATGCAGCTGCACTTTAGTTAAAGAGAATTTTTCCTCTTTAGTAATAGCTAGAAACTTATTGCCATCTCATTTATTTAGTTGTTTCATATTACTATCCCTTTTCTAGAAACAGTCTCTTAGTTGCTCCTTCCTTGTCATTTTGTTATACCTATTTTCTTAGTGTTACTGTACTTAGATTTTTAAAAATTAGATATCTGTAATGCTTAGGCATGATGAGACTTTGTCTATTCATTCAAAATATATCTATTAAACCATATTACCTGCCAAGAATATTATAAAGTCTTTGAAAAGTAAAATGAGCAGTAGAGTGGAGGTAAGATCTACTGCTTCTCTGGTATACTCCATATTCTTCTGCTATTCAGACAAGTTTAGTTTTGACCCTCTGTTCTGTATTTAACCACTGCCTCCTGCATTCACCCTGACTTTACTGAGATTTAACTGCCATGTTTCCTAAACTTTCCAGGTACCCTAGGAACTTTAACCATGGCTTTCAGGAGATCTTGGTACTAGCTGAGTATACTGCTACCTAATTATGTGCCATTAATCTCTCTGGAATTTTGTCAACTGTGAAATAGAAATGATAGAAATGATTTACCTACTTTACAAGATAGCTGTGAATGACAGGTTATTTAAACCTGCATTTATTCATAAAATAATTTAATAAAGTATTTATCAAGCTTATGTGTACAGAAAGTGTCCAGAGAAATATCCAGAGGCACTTCATCTGTCTTTTCACTTAAACAGAAGGGCACAGGAATCTTGGTTTTGCCATAGTAGTTGTAATTTGAGTAACCCCTCTGGGCTTCGGTCTCCTCCTTTGAAAAATGGGCATTGTGATGGTACCTACCTCCCAGTTATTGTAAGCATTAAATGCGATCACATATTTCAAGTGCTTAGGACAGTACCTGGCACCTAGTAAGTTTCCCCAAAATGGTAGCTATTGTTAACCTGTCTTACATCAGGAATGGAGACTCCAAATAATCCTCATGTCTGGGATTTACGTAACCTAATTCTGCCTAATATAATTAAGCTTTTCCTATTCTGTTCTCTGAATGAAAGAAGAATGATTATGATCTTTCATGTCATAACTTGTCATGAAGTGTTTCAAGATAATCCCATTATTTTAAGTTCACCACTGATTAGCTGAACAGGGTTAATGATTGAACCAATTGAGATAAGTATGTGAAAACATTTTTTAAACTGTAAAATGCTATACCATGTTATGACTATTTTAATTAATAACTCCCATTTCACTAGTTTCACTTGCCTTCTCTGCCAATTCTCTATATGGTTCCTAAAATGTGTGGTTTTATAAAATTATTATGGGGGCCGGCCCAGTGTCATAGCGGTTAAGTTCGCAGCTCTGCTTCAGGGGCTGGGGTTCGCAGGTTCGGATCCAGGACAGACCGAGTACCGCTTGTCAGGCCATGCTGTGGCGGCATCCCATATAAAGTGGAGGAAGATGGGCACAGATGTTAGCCCAGGGCCAATCTCCCTCAGCAAAAAGAGGAGGATTGGCAACAGATGTTAGCTCAGGGCTAATCTTCCTCACACACACACACAAAAAATTAAAAAAATTATTAGCGTGTAGTTAAGATTTCAGCATTCAATATGGCTCATTAACTGGTGGTGAAAAATTCTGAGCCATTCTTAAAATGTTTTGAGCCACGACAGTATTGTTAAACGGAAACACTGATTTGGAAGGATACTAAATTCTGAGATATTTGTTTTAAGAAAATAAGCCTCCCTGCTTTAACTCAAATCTTTTTCTTAGATGAATAGCTTTGAGGAGCTAGATTTTATTCAGTGTAAAAACATACACTGTATGATTATGGTAAAAAAAAAAGTGAAACCACATAGAAAACAATGATTTGTCAGCGCAATTGATTCAATTGGGTTAGTGCCTTACCAAGACCCTTTGGGAAGCCAGTGACCTCTAAGCATTTAGGAGTGGCTTTGAGTTTTTTCCAGGCTTTAGCTTTTTTAAAATTACAAAGGTGTAGTGTGTCTGCTGTAACAGGATGGAAAAATGCCTAATGAGAGGTAACAAGCTTTTGCCTCAGTCCAAGGGGATAATGGGCTAACCAAAACTGAGAAAACTATTAGACATAGAGCAGAAAGGACGGCGCTCCCATACACTTTACTCCTCCCCACCCTTTCTTTCCAAAATAATGGTTAACGAAACCATTCCAGGGTTAACCTAAGAGCAGAGGAACAACCACGGTGAATCCGCACTAGGAAGACAGGGAGGACCGAGCTTGGGAAAACAGGCGGCTCCCTGACTGCGCGTGCGCCCCTGTCAAGGGGGACAAAGGCGCCTGCAATAAAGCTCATTGCTTGCGTAGTAAGCATGCGTCAGCGGGTCGGACACGAGGCGCATGCGCAGAGGGGCGGTGCTCAACTGATGCTCCGAAGGTTGTAGTTTTGGTTTTGCCCCGAAAGGCTTATTGGGGTTGCCTTGGCTGAGAGAGATAAAGGAGGAGTCGCGGAGATGACTAAGATAAATTCCTCATTCTCATTATAGGCTTGGAGGTGAAGGATCTCAGTGTTAGGGGCCCCGAGTTTAGAGGTTAGGAGGTTTAGAGCCAGTCCTGCCCCACTTTGTGCCCACTGGTGTTAGGGATGGTAGGGCTGCAAAAGTGAGCATCCCACTCCTCTAAGAGCTTCCTCCCATCTTCTCTTTTTCCCCTTTTTCTCTCTCCCTACATCATCTCCAAACCAAATTGACTTGTCCTTATGTGAACGGGAGCCAGAAAACCTTGAGAATTTCGAACAAAACAGTGGCTTCTCTCTTGACACGGACATGCCACAGGAGAAAATGGAACTAGATTTGGAGGTGCAGCTGAGTTCAACCACCACAGACGGCAACTTCCTGAGAAGATCCAACAGCGCCCCTGTGATCAATGGGCTTGGGTGAGCAGGATTGAAATACTGGAGGAGGCAAGCAGGGGAGTGGGTGGCAAGTGTTGGAGAAAGTGACTTCCGATAGCATTCCTATCCCTCTATTCATCGAGGTTCTTCAGGTATCTCCCTTGTTCCTGGTGTCGGGAGATCCCACCCTCGGCCTGGGGGGGAGTGGGATGGACTGGCCAGAGGGAGAGCGCACACGTACCCACCCTGAGGTTGACACACATAAGAACCTGAACGTCCTCTTCTGACAGTTCACCAGGACCCGAAAGCAGCAACCAATTGGTGTCGAGCACGACGTTTTCTAACTCACTCCATCTCTTACCCACTACTTTGAAGAAACTGAGCACTCCCCACTCTCGCTTTCACATCTTCTGTGATGACTGTAATTTTTGTCTTTCAGCTACTTTGCCACCTCTGACCCTCACCTCCAGCAAGTGCAAATGGTTGCCAAGCAAATAAGCTTGAGCCTTTTTTACGCCTAGTTTTTATTTGAACAAAAAGTTTAGGTACCACAGAAACTTGATCTCATAAATTTTGCATTCTCAATGGCCGATATTGCCCCCAACTTGGTTCTTGGGGGTGTGTGAAAAAATCATACTCATTTTATGTATAAAGCACAGATATACATATGAAAATTTTGTGGGAATTTTCAAGAGGAAGCGATTGCCGGGAAAAATGGCTAAAAGGCTCCTTAGAGGGCTGATAATGAAAAAATATAAGATTTTTAAAAACACTACCCTAGCTGATGGTTAACTGTATTTCCTGTACGTATCCAAATGTCTGGCGTGACTCAATCTTATATTTCTTAAAATAGAATTTTAGAGTGAAATCTTGGATCTCACATCCCAGTGTCATAAAGTTTTCTCAATACTGTAAAAATGTCTGAAAAATGCATTCACTACATATGTTATTAACTTTGTTCCTCACCTTTTGCTGGCATCATACTAATTGATAGTTGTAAATCACAACTGTTAGAACTGAACTCAGACCAGATCTGCCCTCCTGTCTAACATATGAGGAAAGTGAGGCCCATAAATGTCCAAAATGATGTAGTTAGTAGTAGAGCCAGTGCTAGGAACCTGTGTCTCCTGACTCCTAAGCCAGTGCTGTGTCCACTACTAATCAACATCTAAACAAATGCAGCTTCCTGGTCATTTGAGATAAGGCAGAATATATTGTTACAAAATGAAAAGCAAACCAAAATTGACCAAAAAATAATACATTACCTTCTTTAATAGGCAGATAGAAAAATAAAGGGGCGGGGGTGGTGGCTCTGCATGCTGGGTTGAGAATAGAACATTCTATAAATTCAGGATTTTACTCTAATCCTGTTGTGTGAATGAATGAATTGTTGTGGACCCACTCTGCTGGTAGAAGAAAGCACTTGGAGGAGAATGTTGGTTTTATTGGAAGCCTTTATGAAATGAAAAAACAAGTTGCAAAAGATGATTGAGGATAGATATTTGAAGGAACCCTTGGATCCTGTTTAATATATTAAATGCGGGGGATCCAGGCCTCCTTCCCCAGTCCCCAAAGTCCTGGAAGCAAAGAGAGTGATCGCAGTTATCTCTTTATACTTTGCTTCTGTAAAGGATTTGACATTTTTTTGTTTATATTAGAGCATATTTACAGTATCGAATTCTGTAGCTTAAGATGCTGATGCATGAAGTGAAATTTGTACAGAAAGGCGATAGGAAATTGCATATTTATCTAGTAGGAGTTAAAGAAACGACAAAGTGGACCAAGTCCAGGGACTCTTGTCTATCAAAAAGAAGTAACATAGGAATGATATATTACATGCCTGAGGTCAGGCAACTTGTCCAAATGATCTCCTGAGGGCATTGTGCTGTTGTGGCAAGTTTAGGGTATGGTTAGAGAAGTTACACTGAAGCAAGAAAAATGGAGAATAGAATTACACTGAGCCTTAGTTGAATTCATTTTCACCTCCGTTCTTTTCAGTGGCATATGTACACTGCTCACTTTCTCACTTTCCCTTAGTTGGGCCTCTAATCGTTGTTGCTGTCCTTCTTTCACAGCTCACTAAATATTGTTGCACTTCTTTCAAGTAGTTTTCCAATTTTGCTTGATGCTTCCTGTATATAAGGACTCTCAGCCTCTCTTGCACCAGCATTTACAGAATTTGTTCCTTAAATGTCAACTCTTTAATACAAGTGTTACTGTCTTTAAGAAGTTCCTGCACTGTTTGTGTACATCTCACGTTAATAAAAATACCAGTGTCAAAAGTTTTGAACCTCTTGGTTCTTTATACTCTTTAGCCCTCTAGTTGGCAGATTTCACTACTGGTGTCAATGACTTTATTTAAAGGTAGTAGTTTTTTTATTCTACTTCTCTGGCCCTTATTAGAATCATAGATTAAGTTCTTGGATTTCTGCCAGTGCCTTCCCCCTTTAAATACCTTTAGCCTGACTCTGCATTTGTTACTGCCTCAATTCTGTTTGAAAGGCAAACTATTGCCATGGGCCAAATCCAACCTGCCGCTTGGTTTTGTAAATAAAGTTTTATTGGCGTATAGCCACGCTCTTTTGTTTACTTATTGTCCTTGGCCACTTTCCCACAATGGCAGAGTTGAGTAGTTGCAACAGAGATTGTATGGCCCACAAAGCCCAAAATATTTACTATCTGGCCCTTTGCAGAAAGTTTGCCAACCATCTGGTTTATTAAACTCTTACAAGCCCGGAAGAAGAATAGTGGCCATGAAGAATGATTGCTTTGGAAATATAACTGACATAAATATGTTGTAGTTTAGACGCAGCTGCCTACTGATCATTTGATATGGAGCATTGAACATCTATCTAGTTATATTACCTTCACTTTTTCCAAATTGTTAAGTAGCACTTAACTCAGTTCTAGATATCACCTAGGATTTTATGAATTCATCTTGAGTGACTCGTACCAATTGAAGGATATGCTGCCTCAATGATTTCTTTCAGTTACAGTTTTATTAAATAAGATTGGCAGACAAGAATTTAGGGGAGAATATAATTGCCAACCTTAAGAATTAAACCCCCACACAAAAGATAGTGGAACTATATAAACCGTTAGTGTCCCTCCAACTTCCTTATAAGTAACTGCTAAAATATATTCCTGTTCTCATAGGGAAAAATGACTGGGAAAGGAAGTAAAAATTAGACCCATACATATATCCTCTCATAAAATATTGAGTTATTGCCTGTTTTATGCAAATTACCATGCTGTAAAGATGTACCTCGAGGCTCAATAAGCTTTTTAATTTAATAGTGAAAATAAATACTCCAAGGACTTAAATGTATAGTAGAGTAAGATCTGTGCTTAGGGAGGGAAAGGAAGAGCTAGGGGAATCGAAAGAAGGGAGTGAGAAATGACAGCGAGGTTGGTGAGAGATAAGGAAAAAGTTCTCGGACAGGTGGCATTTGAGATGGGTCCTAACAAACACATTGATAGGATGCAGACTGGAAGAGAGGGGGCCGGATAGCTGGGACAGCATGCCAAGTATATGGAGCAGACTTGAAGGCAGAAAAGCACAGGTGTATTCCAGAAAGCTGGTCCACTCTGCCTGGATCACTGACTCCCAAATGTTCATCTGCTGCCCAGTGCTGATCCCAGGTGACATTTTCACAATCCATGGTTTAGAAAAAGTTAAGTACAGCATACTTAAATATATTGTTATGTAGTTGCCAATCATCCTTTTCTGGGCAGGACTGTACTTTGCTCTGAGATTGTTAGTTTTACTCTTTTTTTTAATACCCAAACGTCCTTTTATAAATGAAACAATGGTGTCGGCGGATTTTTTTTAATGACCTTACTTGGCAAAAGAAAATGGTAGCAACTATGTTTGTGCCAAGATTTTGTTTTGAAATTTTACTAATCTGTGAAATCCAAAAGTCTGGAGCTAAATTGTGGAGGGATTTGAATGTCATAGTAAAGAATGTAACTGAATTCGGGAGGTCGTGAAGAGAGTTTCTGAAAGTTGTGAGCAGGAGAGCAAGCTGTTCTTTAGAAAGGTGATCTGGTAGTCTGTTAGATAGATTGCAGTAGGGAAAGAACAGAGGCGAGGAGAGCAATTGGATTATTGCAGAGTCCGTGGAAAAGTAAAAAGGCTTTGAATTGGTTTTTGGCAAGGAGCCTGGAAGGAATATGATGGATATAAGAGACCATAGTGGTAAAACCTAAAAGACCTGGCCCCTAATTGGATATAGGTGGCAAAAAAGAAAATGTTAAAGATGATTTCTTATTATCATTGGGGAAACATGGATGAAAGGTGCACGGGAACCCTTTGTATTCTTTTTGCAACTTCTTGTGAGTCTTAAACTGTTTCCAATAAAAAGCTATAACAAAAATAAGACATGAAAAGGAAAAGATGACTTCTTCAGGGTCCCAAGCTCAAATAGGGCTGAGACCAGCTGGGCGGGCATGGTCAAAGCTGAAGAGACAAGCACCATCTTCAATGGGCAGCGGCTGCTCAGCTTCAGTCCGTTGTTGCCATGTGGGAATGTGACCCAGTGAGGCAACATCTTGCAAATTTTCAATAGAAGTCAAAAATCTGGAATCTGGATTATTTATGTGAAATCTCTCAGTGTTTCAAATGTGCCCACCTAATTAAAAAACATTTTTAACAGTAGGCCAAAGGAAACATATCTGTGAAAATCTCAGTTCTATCGAGCCCTGCTATTGGTTATCCCTCATGTTCATGTGAAAGTTTGGGAGTTGAGAGGGGATTGGTACTAGCACATTATAGCTTCAGTCATAAATTTAAATCAGTTACAGGTTTACACAGAAAACGATGTATTTCCAAGGCCACAATAAATTATACTTATTCTTGGTAGCATGATTAGAGGTAAGGTGGCACGCTTGAGAATTCCGTACCTGATATGGACTCAGCCAATGAAGGCTTTGTGTATGTGTGTGTGTGTTTTAATTTCTACATATGCACAGCTGTCTCCATGAAGAAGCCATTTACGTTAATGGCATTGCTGTTTAAGTATTTGAAATCTTATTTCTTTTAAAAAAAAATCTTGTAATGGATTTTAAATAACAGATGTTTTCTTTTTCTTCTTAGTGACAATTCACAGATGTTCCAAGCTGATACTCTAAGAACCAGAAGCAATAGTATAACATCTATCACACAGCACTGTCTGGTAAGAAAATGCTTATAGCAGCCTCACTGGCCAAGACTTGTGCTATTGGTCTTAACCAGTGGTTCTCAAACTTGAGTGTGCACCTGGGAGGCTTGTTACAACAGACTACTGGCCCTCAACCCCAGAGTTTCTGATTGAGGAGGTCTGGGGCAGGGCCTGAGAATTTGCATTTCTAAGAAGTTCCCACTTTGAGCAACATGGCTCTAAACATTACTGAAGGAAAAATAAACACCTTGACTACAGTTATTATTGCTTTGCTGCAGCAGCAGCAGAATTAACTTTTAAATCCCATATGGATTTAACATTGAGATTTTGTTTTTATGTATAAGACCATCTGGCTTATAATTTTTAAAAGAACATTCTGATTTTGACAGGAAAATTTGCAGGCTCTCCTAAGAGTATTTTTCAGGATTTTAGTTTCACTTTTATCTCAAATTTATCTTGAATTGAAAATAAAGTTTGTTTTTCATGGTGTTATAATACAATGTCTAAATTATAATTCTCATCTACTAATTATCCTGTAAACAGGGGAAGTATGCTTGTAGATAATTAAGCCAAAGTGAATAAATGATTCACTATATGAATCTTTTTATTGAGGTGAAATTCACCTCAATAAAGGTAAATAAAGGTTGTATACCTCAATACAGGTATACAATTCAGAGGCATTTAGTGCATTCACAATGTTGTTCAACCACCACCTCTCTCTAGTTTCGAAAAGCACACTTTCTTGGGGCCGGCCCATGGCCAAGTGGTTAAAGATCCATGCACTCTGCTTCGGCGGCCTGGGTTCATGGGTTTGGATCCCCGGCGAGGACCTACTCCACTCATCAGCCATGCTGTGGAGGCATCCCACATAGAAAGTAGAGGAAGATTGGCACAGATGTTAGCTCAGGGCTGATCTTCCTCAGGCAAAAAGGAAAAAAGAGGAAGATTGGCAACACATGTTAGCTCAGGGTACATCTTCTTCTTCTTCTTCTTCAAAAAAGGCACACTTCCTTGTCTTGTTCCTGGTCATAGGTGGAAAGCTTTCAGCCGTTCATCATTGAGTATGAGATTAGCTGTAGGTTTTGGTAAATGTCCTTTATCATGTTAGGGAAGTTCCTTTCTACTCCTACTTGCTGAGTATTTTTATCATGAAAGGGTGTTGAATTGTTTCAAATGCTTTTTCTGTATCTATTGGGATGATCATGTGGTTTTTTCCCCCTCCGTTCTGTTAATATGATGTATTACATTGATTTTCTTATGTTGAACCAACTTTGCATTCCTGAGAAAAATCCTCCTTGGTCCTGGCGTACAATCCTTTTAATGTACTATTGGATTCGGTTTGCTATTATTTTGTTGAGGATTTTTCCATCTATATTCATAAGAGATATTGGTCTGTAGTTTCTTTTCTTGTGGTACCTTGCTGGCTTTGGTATCAGGGTAATGCTGGTCTCATAGAAGGTGTTAGGAAATATTCCTCCTCTTTTATTTTTGGAAGAGTTTGAGTAGGATTGGTGTTGATTCTTCTTTAAATGTTTGGTAGAATTCACCAGTGAAGCCATCTGGTCCTAGACTTTTCTTTGTTGGGAGGTTTTGGAAACAGATTCTCTTTATTTGTTACAGGTCTGTTGATGTTTTCTATTTCCTCTTGAGTCACTTTGGTAATTTGTGTGTTTTTAGGAATTTGTCCATTTCATCTAGATTATCCAATTTGTTGACATACTTCTCTTATATGATTTTTTTAATATGATAGAATCTACAGAACATACTTTAGCGAAATGTTGTAGGTTGGAACCCATTTTAAAATATTGCCTCCTAATCTTAAAACTGGAAATTTTCCTTTTCATAGAATACTTAACATTATTCCCACAAATGCATTAATATTATATTGGGAAAAGTTAGAATTATTCATTAAACAATTCTTCCTTCTATTCACTTACTTATTTACTCATTCATTCAACAATTTTTATTGAGTGCTTGCTTGTCTATCAATGCACTTTATACCTATCCAGTCTTCTTTTCTACTCAGCCACGTCAACAAATATTTTTAGGAACGTACTATGTGTTAAGCCTTGATCTAATTGTCAGGGAGATCTAACCTAGTTTGAGGGGTTTAAGGAGGAAATGACATCTTAGTTGAGATCTTACTGATGTGTAGGAGTTAGTTAGTTTGGGATATTGGTTGCAGGAGCAGACAATATTCCAGGTAAAAAATGGCATGTTTGAAGGCCTGGAAGTGAAAGGGAGTGTGGTGTGTAGAGAATAGAGAGTACAGAGAATTTGGAAGAAGTGCGTTCTAGCTAGAGTGAAAGTAAAGATGAAGTCATGAGAGATGAGGTTGGAGATATAGACTAGTGCAAGTTCTTGTAGGGCCTTCCAAGTCGTGTTAAAGATTTTACACTTTACCCTAAGGTCAATGAGGCCATAGAAGAATCTAAGTCTGTGATTGACATGATCAGATTGGCATTTTTAAAAGATTACCCTGGCTGTAGAGTGGAAGATGGATTGGAAGAGGGCAAAAGTAGATCCAAAAAGATCAGATAGGAGGCAACTGCAGTAACCCTGGCAAAGAGCTGATAGTAACTTAGACTAATATGATGGCAGTGGGCAGAGAGAAAAGTGGCAGATTCAAGAGATATTTGCAAGGTATAATCAATTGAGAGATTCGATGGAGAGTCGGAAATGGTGGAGGCAAAGGTGACTAGGTCTCTGGCTTGGGCAACTGATGGGATGGTGGTACCATAGAAGAAGAAAGGAATGTTGGAAGAAGAGTAGATTTAGAAGAGAAGATGAGTTTAGTTTTGGACATGTTAAGTTTGATATTCTCTGGGATCTCTAAGTGGAGATATTAGATATACCAGTTTGAAGCTCAGGATAGAGATCTGGGCTAGAGACACACATTTAAGAATCATCAATAGAGTGTTACTTAAAGCTTTGGGAATGAATGATATGACCTATGGAAAGAGTATAAAAGGAGAAGAGAAGAGGCTAAAGGAAAAAGCTTTCAAGATCACCAGCACTTAAACATCAGTCAGAAGAGACTCCACCAAAGAAGACTAAGATGGAACGGTCATAGATGCAGAAGGAGACTCAGAAGAGAGTAGTACCATGAAAAACCAAGGAAAATTATTGTCATGTGCCATCAAGTAGTTAAACATGATAAAGACTGAAAGATGTCCATTGAGTTACCAAAATGGAGATTATTAATGAATTTCTTATATTTGAAAGCAAGTTCAATGGAGACTGGGGTGGGGTGAGAAGAAGCCAGATCGGATTGGGTTAAAGAATGACTGAAAGCCAGCCCTGATCGCCTAGTGGTTAAAGTTTGGGGCTTTCACCGCTTCTGTAGCCTGAGTTCGTTTCCCGGTCTCAGAACCACACCACCCATCTGTGAGTTGCCATGGTGTGGCGGCGGCTCAAATAGAAGAACTAGAAGGACTTACAACTAGGATATACAACCATGCATGGGGGCTTTGGGGAGAAAAAAAAAGAGGAAGATTGGCAACAGATGTTAGCTCAGGGCCAGTCCTTCCCTGCAAAAAAATAAAAATAAAACAACAAAAAGAATGACTGAGAAGTGAGGACCTTTAAATGGCACTGTACATATGAACTTGGTTATTTGGGGGCAGAGTACCCTTTCTATGCCTTAATTTCCTCCTCTGTAAAATGAGAATGTAAGAGTATCTGCCTCATAGGTTTGTTGTGGTGATTACATTAATCAGTAAAAGTACTCAGCATGGCACTGGCACAGGTTAAATGCTCAATAAATATTAGATGTTTTTATTAGTAATAGTATGTTTATAGAGCAACCATGTACCTGGCATTTTTTTAAATGTATAATTTTCCTTAGGAATTCTAGGCTCCTAATTTGCATAAGTTTAAGTTTAATACAATGCATATTTAAAATAAATCATCTTATACAATGGACTGTGTTTGGCAGAAGTGAAGCCATTTTAACTTATTTGATGATGGGAATTTCAAGGTTTATTGGTTTATCTTGCTGTAACAGCATTATGCATATGCTTTTATTTTGTTCAAAGTATCACTTCATCATTATTATAAGACTTATGTAGGTATATACTTGCCTTCAGTATAGATATGCTGAGTTATCTAGAATAACATGATAATTAGAATGCTTTTGGCCGAAGTAACAAAATCCAATTAGAAGCGACTTAAATGATAAGGAACATTTATTATCGCAAATAACAAGAAGTCTTGAGGAAAGGAGGTCCAAGAGTTGGCTAATTCAGTGGCTCAGTGATATCATCAGAGACCCAGGTTCCTTCCATCTTTCCACTCTACCATCCCCAGCGGCCTCACTAATCTTTGTACCTAGTAATTAGACCCAGCGTTCAGAATCATACGTATAGCATGATCTTATATATATTTACAGATGTCAAGAAGGATATGTATCAATCTATTAGTAGTTATCTCTGGAGCATGGAATTATAGGAAGAATTTTACTTCTACTTTATGCATTTCGACAATACAGGTGTTTTCATTTCTAGCTGATATATCAAATTACAAAATAGAAACATCATTCTTGAAAAAATATAAGTATCGTTGAGTGATATCATGAACTCTAAGTTTAAGGGTCCTATCCCGTACTGGACTGCCCTTAAAATTGGTGCTGCAGGAACCTATAGTAGTCAAATTCATAGAGACAGAAAGTAGAGTGGTGATTGCCAGGGACTGTGGGGAGAGGGGAATGGGGAGGTGTTGTTTAATGGGTATAGAGTTTCAATTTTGCAAGATGAAGAGTTCTGGAGATTGGTTGCACAGCAATATGAATGTACTTAACACTACTTAACTTAAAAATGGTTAAGATGGTAAATTTTATGTTATGTATATTTTACCACAATTAAAAATTTAAAAAATTGGTGCTACTTTTCATGTATTTCAATGTAGGTAAAACTGTTTTAGAAAAAATTGTGGTTATAGAGGACATTGAAGAACCATGAGTGCCATTTAACACACAAAGATGCATATTTCCAAACCTTGCAAAAATCTGTTATCTCACAATTATTTTCTTAGTTAAGTTCAAATATTTTCTTCACCACTCTCAGGAAATCACTCCATTCCGCTTCTGATGAGCAGAAACCTGAGGCCCTCTTCTGACTATGGGGACTATGCCTTCTCCCCGGATTACCCCTTTGCCTTATCTCCTAAGAACTCCAATGTTGGCATGGCTGTTCCCCACTCTTCTACTGAGAATTCTCTTCTTGGCACCTCTGTTGATTTTGGTGCAGCCACTTCTTTTCTCTATCCTGACCCCCTTCTACTCCAAAAGCAGGAGAAATGTCTCATTTTCCTATCAAATGATTGTGCTTTTCTTGAGCAATTTGTCTGTTTTAATCTTATGACTACTGATATTTATCTGATTAGGTTTTGCTTTTCATACTGGCAACTACAAACTCTAAATCCAATTTATGGCCCACCCAGTAGCAAGTGTATAATACATTCCTGACCCTGCTTTATGCTCTGTCCTTCTAGCCTACATTCAATTCATGTTCAGTATGGTCGTAAGCCACCTTGAATCATTTCAGGAACCAGGCAGAGACATTCATAAATATAGCATACAACTCTTGCTTGGGATTTTCTAAGTGTTTTATCTCTAGTAACTACAGTAGGAAATGGGTTAAAATAGCCAACCTATTAAAAATTTATTTTTAAAAAATTGAATGTTTTTACAATATTAGTTTTCTGTAGTCTCTCTTTTAAATGGAACTAAGCTTGATCTTTCCTCCTGTCTTAAGGTCTTCACTGGAGATAACGCTTGGGAATCAGCTTCACCCAGCACCCTCCCCAACCCCCCCACTCCCACTTCTTCCCTCCCCACCCCATGATGTCATTCCTTGGTGCTGGTATTCTTGCTTCCTCCCAAGGACTTTTTTTTTCTACAGTGTAAGAGAAAGGCACAATAGGAAATTTACACAAAAGATACCAGTGAAGTTTATTGACATCTCAGGAAACTCTTTATTTCTATTTTAATACTTTGTTTCATGTAGAAAAATTATCTAAGGTAATTCCCTTGCAAACACCACCTGTAGTACTTAACCTGTGGGAGAATTCTCTTCCAGAAGCCTTTTTTTTTGTGTGTGTGTGAGGAAGATCAGCCCTGAGCTAACATTCATGCTAATCCCCCTCTTTTTGCTGAGGAAGACCAGCTCTGAGCTAACATCCATTGCCAATCCTCCTCCTTTTTTTTTTCCACCCCCCAAAGCCCAAGTAGATAGTTGTACGTCATAGTTGCACATCCTTCCAGTTGCTGTATGTGGGACGCGGCCTCAGCATGGCCGGACAAGCGGTGCGTCTGTGCGCGCCTGGGATCCGAAGCTGGGCCGCCAGCAGCGGAGCGTGCGCACTTAACTGCTAAGCCACTGGGCCGGGCCCAGAAGCCTTCTTTTCTCCAATTAATTTTCCACTTTATTACCAGAAGAATCAGCCAAGTCCAATATTTGATCCACATTTTGTCTAATTTAAGAACAAATCTTTCTGTGGCTTAGGATTCTATAGCTCAAGGTCAAATCCTACCTTCCCCAGACATTTCACACCATATCCCTGTTGATGTCATCAATTTCATTCAGGCAGTCTTCTCAGGATTTCCTGGATAAAGTTTTCCAATAGGAAATTCTAAGCCTTTGCCTGAAGCTAAACCAGTTCCTTTCTATCCCTTAGATATCAATTAAAAATAATCTCTTCCAGGAAGTCTTTCATAATTTATTTAGAACAGTTTGCCACACCATGCAATTCTCTTCTTTTTTTAAATGACATATCATTATAATACAGCTAACGTACCATAATTTCTGTATATAGAGCATATGTATATACTTAAGTTCAGGTTAACATGTCTTTTCAATTAGCTTATAAATCTTAGGGTTTCATATTCTATATTGTGAACTTTCTGGGCATTTGAATGATGACAATATGAGTATAAGTAGCATGATTCAGCTTATTAAAATTCTACTTGTTCAAAGATATGTGTGTTTATATATATATATTTGAATTTTTTTAAAGGAAAACCTAAATTTTTCAGATTTGGTGCATGTCACTGTACAACAGCTTCTCGGTGATCAATGCTAATAAAGGGGAGCATTGGGGGAGAAGATCCAAAACTGTGGATAAATCACAATATTTTATCCTCGGTTTAGAAAGTAGATTATTTTTAAAGTATGTTAAGAATGGACATACAAATTTTTTTTTAAATTAGTAATAATATCTAGTGTTGGAGAGTTACAGGGAATTAATATTCTCATACACTGCTGGAAAGTAAATTTGTATAAGCTTTCTGGAAGGCAGTTCAGCAATGTGTATCAACAGCCCTGTGACCCAGAAATTCCAACTCTGTGAATTTATCCTAAAGAATTCATTAAGGATGTGTGCAAAGATTAGCTTAAATGTTGTTATCACAGCATTATTTATAAGAGCGAGCAAAAAATGTGACAACAGTATAGATGTCCAACAACAGGGAATAGGTTAAATGAATGAGCCTTCATTATCTGTGTTTGAATCACAGTTCTAGCAATTACTAGCTGTATGACCTT